GGGGCTTGGGGTGTAGGTTAAGGACTTAGGATGTTACTCCAGGGGACTGGGCAGGGATTTGGGCCGGGCGGTGACGCGCTCAGAGCCACAGTTCGGAAGGGGCTGGGGGGGGGGGGGGGGGGGGGGGCTGCCAGCACTGATGTTAGCTCCCATTGGGAAGGGACCGGAGGAGCAGGGTACAGTCCCTGAGCTGTTGCTGACTCATCCCGGGGGCAAGCGTGGGCTACAGGCAGCAAAGGTCTGGGGGCAGGAGGGCTCTGAGGTGCCGGGGGCTTCTAGCAGGTCCTCTCCTCTCTCAGGACCCCTCTTGGTCTCTGGATAGAGGTGCTGGCCAAGGTCTGGCTCCGATTCGGCTTAGACATGGAGAAGTCGCAGGTTTGGGCTGCTGCCCGGCCGGGCCTCTGCACAGACCCCAGGACATCTGATAATCATGGCCCCTTGCTTTCAGCTGGACCCCCAGGCCCTTCAGGACAGAGACTGGCAGCGGACCATCATCGCCATGAATGGGGTATGTACCCATGGGGCTGTGTTGGCACCCGCTTCCTGCCGAAGGCTGGGGTGGTCCCAGTCTCTTCCAAAACAGTCAGAAGGAGGCTGAGCCTGAGCCGGTGTCTGAGGGGGAATGTGGCTGGAGGAGACAGAGCCACCGTGGGGCAGAATCGCTGTGTGCAGGCAGGAGTCCGCCTGGTGGCTGGAGTGCAGTCACCCGCCAGGCACTGAGCATCCCTCCTCAAATGGCAATCCAGTGGCATCATGGGGACAGACAGGGCCTTGACCCTGGGGTCTGCCCGTAGAAACTAAGACCCCTGATTAGCCTTCAGTGCCCCAGAAGGATTTTTTTTAATTTTAACATCTTTATTGGAGTATAATTGCTTTACAATGGTATGTTAGTTTCAGCTTCAAACCATTGGGAAGGGACCGGAGGAGCAGGGTACAGTCCCTGAGCTGTTGCTGACTCATCCCGGGGGCAAGCGTGGGCTACAGGCAGCAAAGGTCTGGGGGCAGGAGGGCTCTGAGGTGCCGGGGGCTTCTAGCAGGTCCTCTCCTCTCTCAGGACCCCTCTTGGTCTCTGGATAGAGGTGCTGGCCAAGGTCTGGCTCCGATTCGGCTTAGACATGGAGAAGTCGCAGGTTTGGGCTGCTGCCCGGCCGGGCCTCTGCACAGACCCCAGGACATCTGATAATCATGGCCCCTTGCTTTCAGCTGGACCCCCAGGCCCTTCAGGACAGAGACTGGCAGCGGACCATCATCGCCATGAATGGGGTATGTACCCATGGGGCTGTGTTGGCACCCGCTTCCTGCCGAAGGCTGGGGTGGTCCCAGTCTCTTCCAAAACAGTCAGAAGGAGGCTGAGCCTGAGCCGGTGTCTGAGGGGGAATGTGGCTGGAGGAGACAGAGCCACCGTGGGGCAGAATCGCTGTGTGCAGGCAGGAGTCCGCCTGGTGGCTGGAGTGCAGTCACCCGCCAGGCACTGAGCATCCCTCCTCAAATGGCAATCCAGTGGCATCATGGGGACAGACAGGGCCTTGACCCTGGGGTCTGCCCGTAGAAACTAAGACCCCTGATTAGCCTTCAGTGCCCCAGAAGGATTTTTTTTTTTTAACATCTTTATTGGAGTATAATTGCTTTTCAATGGTGTGTTAGTTTCTGCTTTATAACAAAGTGAATCAGTTATACATAAACATATGTCCCCATATCTCTTCCCTCTTGCGTCTCCCTCCCTCCCACCCTCCCTATCCCACCCCTCTAGGTGGTCACAAAGCACCGAGCTGATCTCCCTGTGCTATGCGGCTGCTTCCCACTAGCTAGCTATTTTACGTTTGGTAGTGTATATATGTCCATGCCACTCTGCCCCAGAAGGATTTAGACCTTAAAAAGAAAAACTACTACCACACACCAAAAAGTCTGGGCATGTAGGACAAAATGTTACCATTTGAAAGATAATTCATCTTTTTGTTATATTATTCTCTATACTTTTTCTCTAGTGTTTTGTTGTTGTTGTTAGAATTAATATAAGAAAGAGAAGCAATGGGGTCGTTGGGGGAGGTTCTGCAGAAGCTGGTCCTTAGATCACCCTGACCATTCCTGGCTCTTGCTGAGGTGGACTAGGGGCCACCCCCCACCTGGACCTTACCCTGCTCGCCCGGGGGGGTGGATAGAATTGCTGAGATCCCGGGGCCCCTGGACACACAGGCTGTGAGGACCAGGAGGGTGAGAGGGTCATGCCCCCTCCACTTGCAGATTGAAGTGAAGCTGTCAGTCAAGTTCACCAGCAGAGAGTTCAGCTTGAAAAGGATGCCTTCCCGAAAACAGACGGGCGTCTTCGGAGTCAAGATCGCCGTGGTCACCAAGTGAGTGGTGAGGGGTTGGGGCTCATGCGTCTCTTGTCCCTAAGGACCAAGGGCACCCCCTCCCCAGGTGTTTCTGGAGGAAAGAGCAGGTGTGGGTCTCCTGCTCTGGGCACAGTCACTGCACGGGGATGCCTCCCAGGCCCTTGGGGCACTGTGCTCAGCTGCCTCCCATGTTTACCATGAAAGGTGTCCCCATAAGCTCAGGGGTGTCCCACCCCCTTCCTGTGCTGCCCGTGGAGCTGCGCTTGGCAGGGTTTTCTTCCCTCACTCGGAATTTGTCACGATCAGGCCCCCTGTTCAATGGTGGAAACGCTGCCCCTTTGTCACGGGTCAGTTGCCAGGAGAAGCTTGTGTGTAGGTTTGAGGGCAGTTCTCAGGGACACAGGCCGCCTCCTGCCAGAATCCATTCGCTTCCCCGATTTGGAATCTGGCCTGGCCCTGACCTCGCTGGTCGTCAGGCAGGGACCTGCGTCAGACGCTCCCTGGACACCTTTTGTGTCCAAACACTGCTCCCTGCTCCCTGCTGCACCCCAGTCGTCCCCCCCAGCACCTCCGGGTGGCTCAGGGCGGGAGCAGAGAGCACTGTCAGCAGGTGCCCCAGAGGAGCACTGCTTGTGAGAGTGTCTAGGGACACAGCTTTGCCGGGCTCCCGCATATGCAGTCACTAAACTAGACTGAAGCTGACCCTCCAGACAGCAAGTCTCCTGTGTTGGAAGTGCTCTTACCCCGGCGTCCTGCCTGGAGCTACTGGAATTGTCCGTTGTTAGGACGTGGAAGAGAAAAGTGTTAGAATCACAGGAGTCTGAGCACTGGCGTGAGGCAGCCCCATGGAACTGGTCCTCTGGCCCGGCTGCCTGCTGGGCTTAGGGCTCACCTCTGCCCCAGGCCTGAAGGGGTCAGGATTTTCCTCTCGCACAGCAGGTAGGGGGCAGGGCTGAGACCGGGTCCCCTGACCCGACTCGGAGACCAGACGGCTTTCCAGGACCCTTGCAGTCACCTGTTAACCCAGGGCCTGGGATCTTTTAACTGACTTCCAGTGGCTGACCTCAGTTAGAAAAGCCTCCTAACTGTCCCTCAAAGGTCGTGTGTGACTTGTAGGGTGTCCAGCCATCTGGAGCTGTTGGAAGGGCCCCGATAAGATATAAGCAGTGATAATCGTGAGATCTCAGAGCAGAGAGAGAACACACAGAAGGCTCTGGGTGTGCCCAAACCTGGGTGCTTCAGGTGTGCAGAGAGGTGCGGGGATCAGCCCCACTGCAGCCCGAGCCGGGGCTGCCAGGCACTGAGGGCATCCCCTCCCCTGCAGGAGGGAGCGCTCCAAGGTGCCCTACATCGTGCGCCAGTGCGTGGAGGAGATCGAGCGCCGGGGCATGGAGGAAGTGGGCATCTACCGCGTGTCCGGAGTGGCCACCGACATCCAGGCACTGAAGGCGGCTTTTGACGTCAGTGAGTGTCGGGCTGGGCAGTGCGGGATGGTGGTGTGGGCACAGTGCCCAAGCCGAGATCCCGGCGTGCCCGTTTATGTTACAACGAGAAGGAAATGGCACTGTGGGAGGAGGTTCTGCACAAGCCAGTTCTTAACCCGTCCTGACCACGTGGGCGTGGCTCTTGCGGAGTTGGACCAGGGGCTTCCGTGGGGGCGGCCCCATCTCACACCAGGGCTCCGCCTGCTTGCCCCCGGCCGGGAGTGGAAAAGAGGTGCCAACCAAAGCCCAGGGGTCAGTGCATCTGGCTGCAGAGAAGCCGGTGGAACTGCCCCAATTGCCAGATAAGGACACGAGACCCCTGAGGGTCCTGGAAGTGGAAGTGGGCAGAGCCGGGACTTCAGCCTGGCCTGGAGCCCTGGACGTGTGGGCCCAGCCACAGCTACGGCTCCCTTTGGGTGGCCAGCATGGGCCCGGCCTGTGGCTCAGAGGGTAGAAGTGACTCGGGGTCCATTGTGGGCCTTGTTCTATGTCTGCGCTCTCTCCAGACAACAAGGACGTGTCGGTGATGATGAGCGAGATGGACGTGAACGCCATTGCCGGGACGCTGAAGCTCTATTTCCGAGAGCTGCCTGAGCCCCTCTTTACCGACGAGTTCTACCCCAACTTCGCCGAGGGCATCGGTGAGTGAGGGGCTCAGGGGCGAGGTGAGGGAACCCGAGTTTCAGCCCAAACCCTGCGTGTGGCGGGGGACCGAGAACCAAGCTGGTCCCGAGAGGCCTCTGCCCATCCTCAGCAGACTGCCTGCTGTCCCGGTCCCTCCAAGTCGCTCGAGAGGCCGCAGCAGCTGGCGCTGCTGTGGACACGCCTGGGTGCGGGGTCCCGGAGGCCACTGTCCTCCTCATCTACCCCAGGTCCTGGCCCCGTCAAGCAGGGCTTCAAGCCCGACCTGACCCCCAGTCCACCTGGAGGGTGGGGGGCGCTGGTGCATGGGGCAGCTGCGGCCTCCACACCTCCCTCCAGGGCCGTTCAACAGAGGACCTGGCCCCCTGGGTGCACAGGGTGATGTGATGAGGGGGCCTTGGGGCCTCGCGGCCCTCCTGCTTGTCACTCTTCCTGCTTTATTCCAAGCCCGGCTTCCCCTGCCTTGGGCTCT